CAAAAATTCATTTTGTGACTTTTGTAGATTATTTAGAAAAACTCACTATTTGTTTGTCCTGGCTGCAACGAAGGCCACGCCTCTTTACTTTGTGAATTTACAGTTCCACTTTCCCTAACAATACTGCTTGTTACAGGTGGTGACGGTGTTGGTTTCCTATGAATACAGATTATTGTGAATTAAAAAACTGAAATTAGAATCTCATGTATGCAAATAGTTCCAAGAAACCATATCATTTTGTTATGCCAAAATAAACATTGTACCGTTGCACCGAAGATACATGTGCATGTAACGATTGCACAAGCTTGCGTTCATACTCTTGATGTTTTCCTTGATGCATCTCTTCCTTCGTAAACGATGCCTCCTGGTCCCCAAGATCGTGCAGGTACATGCATTCTGGCTTCGGACAGGCTTGGTTACGCATAAAATGCGAACAGTACTTTGTCGTTCCCAATGATGTTTTTATTGTCCGTCCATCCACAACAATGTTATTCACAGCCTCTATAGCACGTAGCGCATCTTCTTGACGCTAAATAATGTACAAAAATTATCATTATGTACATAAATATAATTGTAAAATTACGTTATAAGTACCCATAAAAGCTGAGATAAAAATTGGAATTTAAATACCACTTAAAAAAAAAAAAAAAAAAGAAAAAAAATAGTAAAATAACTCACTTGATAAGTAACATAAGCCGAAGCACTGGGGCCTTGAGACCCTGCATAGGAAGTACTCTGGTTAATTACGACTTTGTGTATCTTCCCAAATTTTCCAAAATATTCGTGTTTCTTTAAAACCTAAAGCATGCAAAGTATTATAGATCATAATCTTTTTTCTTAAAAGATGATGTTTACAAAGGTCTATACGCGTTATCAATACTAGTTGTATGGAGCTATCAATATTAATTATATGCAGTTAATTAATCAAGAATATACTTACATCTGCATCTGCTAGTCGCATTGGTAATCCTACTACAAAAACTAAATTTTTTTGTACTACTCTCACATTTGCTAGATGTTTCCGATTTTCTGTAACTTTCTGCTTCCGTTGTTGATCCTTTAATCTCTTCTCAGCTTTCAATCTAAAAAAACGGAGTGGGAGAGATAGTTTTAGAATAAAATCGTGCTTCTCAATTAAAGTATAATATATATAATATTAATATAAATAATTAAATTATTTCGAAATACCTTGCTATTTCTTCCTTAGTAAGGGGTTTAAAATCAGCCGGATTTTCAGAATAGGCCTTCCGACACGCGGGACACAAACCATTCTCGTCGGTACGAATTCTGTGCCAACAAAAACGGCATATTTGATACCCACAGGTGCAGGGGAAGAAATTCAGATCGTCCACCTCCAAAGGTTCCATACATAAAGGGCATTCCACTGCATCCTCTCCAGTTTGATTCAATACTGACATTTTTGTTGGCGATCTTGTAAATGTCACAAGATAGACACAAATCACGAATATTTAGCTAAGTGCCAAAGTCTGTAAAAGATAGTAATTGTAAGGTCAAAAAGAGAAATATAAATAAATATGTTGATATTTAATTACGTTACTCGATTTGAAAGCTACAATTTTTTTCGTCATCCATCTATTACTATACAATTATACATTTGTCAAATTTTTTATATCACGAATCTAGATGTGCAAATTTTACTTACACGCAAAGTCGTCACTTCTCTGGTTTTAAGTAATTGACAGTACTTGCAACTTCCTTTTATACACTGCTACCTCTTCCCGATCTGAAACAGAGCGTTGCACCCGCAAGTTGTCAACTATCGAACTGTATTTAGGTCGCCTGCCACACATATTGAGGAGATAATTGCGGCGGATGGCGCGTTTTTTATCCGATCGCGAAATATTCGACGAGTGACGTTTCGATTCTTGCATGGCGACGAATCGCGCGACAATCTAAACATTTTACGCGAACTGTTGCTATCGGTCGTGGGGGGCGACGTAACGTAAACGTGAACACGAGTACGGTACTTTTTCTCGCGACGCAAAAGATAGACGAACGAAAGATAGCGAAGCGAGTCATTTTAAATTGAAATCCGAGGTCTCGGTTTCAGAGTTGTATTCCGTCAATCGCACTTTTCGCGTTTGATTCAAAACAGGTATACGCTCGAGCGAGAGAAAGGAAGAGAAATAATATATAAAAAGCGCGCAATCGAAACGACGATAAGAGGACGATGACAGGTCATGACCACGGGTTCCGTTTTGACAGGAGCTGTCAGATTGGAAAGAGAGAAAAAGAGAATGCAAGAAAAATAGAGAGAAAGAGAAAGAGAGTGAGAAAAAAGAGAAGGAACAGCGAGAGATGTAGCAAACAAAGGAGACATACCGGAATTCTCGCACAATTACACACAAGACGTGAATCTCGCACGACGCCCTACGCACGACAACGATGACTCGTCCTCGCCCGAGATGACAAGAATTCGTTCTCCGTCCCGTACGTGATGATTTGAGGTCGTCGACGACAATGGGAAAAAAAATTTCCTTGCACACACAGTATTACAGGGAAAGGGTCACCGTCTCTCTCTCTCTCTCTCTTTCTCGCGCGCGTCTCTCCGTCTCCCTCTCCTCCTTTTCTCTCTCTGTCTCGTACACGACGAAACGCGAACCGAGAGGGCGACGATCGGACGAAACAGCTGTTGGTGGCGTCTGCGAAAGGCCTAGCGAGAAACGTCAAATGGGTGCGAGTGAGACGTTTCACTGGCTACGCCATAACAGAGAGACCTACGCGAAAATCTGCCGCGGATGGCCGGCGTGGTGGGGCATGACACGTAAATTCCGCCTCTCGGTGCCTTCTCGGTCGCGAGCGTATACGCGAGTACGCAAGGACGACGGTCTCTCGCGACGCGATTCTCAAAGAAGAGGGGGGGGGGAGAGGAAAGAGGGATACGATGGTAGGCGAGAGAGAGAGAGAGAGAGAGAGAGAGAGAGAGAGAGAGAGCGGGTGGCTGAGAGTAGTAGTAGGTGGTAGGGAGAGCGCAAACGGTGTCGTAGGCGAGAGAGACGGGGTGAGGTAAAGAGAGAGAGAGAGAGAGAGCGGGTGGCTGAGAGGGACAGACAGAAGGAGGATGACAGGGAGGGATAGTCGTAGTAGTAGGTGGTAGGGAGAGCGCGAACGGTGTCGACGCGGCGAGAGCGACAGAGATGGATTGCTACCGTGTACTGCTATCGCCGATTGCGTCGTCTCTTTCTATTACATTTGAGAATGAGAGACTCTTCGTCTCAATCTTTGTTGCGCCGATCTCTCTCTCTCCCGTATGCATCTATCTCTGTGGTCCCTCTCGACACTCCGAGGGATGATCGTGCAAACCTGAAATATACGCGACGACGCGACGCGGACGGGACCGATTCAGCTTTCCATTTATGTAAACGCAATAAGCACACTTTTAACGCAATCGACACGAACGACGGTGATGACGATGACGATGACGATGACGATGACGATGACGATGACGATGACGATGACGATGACGATGACGATGACGATGACGATGACGATGACGATGACGATGACGATGACGATGACGATGACGATGACGATGACGATGACGATGACGATGACGATGACGATGACGATGACGATGACGATGACGATGACGATGACGATGACGATGACGATGACGATGACGATGACGATGACGATGACGATGACGATGACGATGACGATGACGATGACGATGACGATGACGATGACGATGACGATGACGATGACGATGACGATGACGATGACGATGACGATGACGATGACGATGACGATGACGATGACGATGACGATGACGATGACGATGACGATGACGATGACGATGACGATGACGATGACGATGACGATGACGATGACGATGACGATGACGATGACGATGACGATGACGATGACGATGACGATGACGATGACGATGACGATGACGATGACGATGACGATGACGATGACGATGACGATGACGATGACGATGACGATGACGATGACGACGACGAGAACGACGGCTGTTAGCTGCTGCGAACGTCACTCGAGATTCTACGATCCATCCGCCAGAGGGGTTGTTCGAAGTAGCTCGAAACTTGGTCATATTACCCTGCACGCGTTAACCTCAATCCTTAATCCCGAGACAGCTCCTAACAAAACGTTCTCACGATTCTTCGGAACCCGCGAGAAAATTCTCGATGACGATAGTTTTCACCAAGCTCGCACGCGCATCTCTTTCAAACAGTATCGAATATATATGCATATATATACACGCACATATACATATATATATTTATATATTCGCACGGTCCTTTATTTACTTACTCGCCTCACGACTAACAATCCTCTCTCTTTACTGGGAAATTTTTCTACAGTATTCTACTGTCCCGGGATTTATGTGGTTGGGTGCGCGCTCGCGATCGCGCACGAGCGGATGTATGCACCGCTATTCCGCGGTTTGTCACTAGGCGTTGCGCGAAGTGTCACTAAAATAAATAACTTAAGATAAGATGTGACTAGGACCCTAGAACTATTAATGACACGGCTAATATATTTAGCTGGTATTATGTTTGACATTTAAAGATAAATAAACATTGTTATTGTAAGACAAATTGTTGTACCTATCTGTTATTTCGTACCTTGTTTCTCAGATGCGAATGATAATAGGGTCTTTGTTCGGGGTTTGTATTTGCCCAATATCCGGAAATTTTCTAACGAGTCTGCGCCGCTCGCAGCTGTTAAATAACCTCTTTCCACGATTGAAAAATATAGATACATCCTGAAAATTAACATCGATTTTAGTCTTTTAAAGTATAACTGATAGTCCGTATAATATAGTAGAAAGATAAATTAATATTTCTATCATAATTACCATGTGTAGGGCAATTTGGAAATCGAAATATTTTAAATGATATTAAGATTTATCATATATGCGTTGGATACAAAAAGCGTTACATTTTTTCGTTAAGAGTTGATGTGATAAAGTCTTTTGAAAAGATATTTAGCAGTGATACAATGTAATTTAAAAAAAAAAATGAAATTTAATGTTACTTAGTTTAAATAGCTCACTGTGTATAAATACATAGTCTATATTCTATATTAAATATAGAATATTTTATACATTTGATGTTTTATTCTAATGCACTGAATGTCTTCATCGTATGATTTGCGTCTGCGCGAATGCATTCATAAAAATATATATTTATACAAATATTTGTAATCGTTATAGTGAAAAGATAAAAATTCTTGCAAAGATAGTTGTTTTACATAAATTCTTATATCAAGTATCCCTCATTTCTTTAATACAATTATATATAAAATCTGCTCCAATTAATTTCATTATATTCCTAGTGTGTTTTAGGTACGCTACGTTTCCTCGATCTTCTCTTACGTTCACGAATAACACCAAACAATGGATGTCTTGTTTTTAAATCATTAGGGAACTGCACACCAGAGTTCTCTATAGATACTGGTTTTACGTCCCGTGCTCCAGATAATTTCCTCCTTACAGATAATGAACCAGCTGGCTTGATATTTACTACATAGAAAATATTAAAAAATTAATACATAAATGATGTACAAAGAAAAAACATGCATTCTTTCTCTGTTTTGTTTGATTCCTATTGAATGAAATAAGTTACCAGTCTTATACATGTGTGAAGTCCTCTTGGTATTAAAAACACATGTAACATTGTAGTTCGTATTTTGCGCAACTATACAATATCGTTCGTCTTTAATTTTAAATTTTGATTTATCTTCAAAGGCTATCATTTGACCACGAAGTTCTTGTGTATCTATCTATGTAAAAATAAGATTCTTTATCCTTGACATTTTAAAGCATTAAGAAAATTTGTATAATGTTTCATTAACTTATTTTTCTTTAACTTAGTTTCATTAAATATAACTTACTGATCTGGGAAGATCCATAACCCAAATGTCTTCACTGTCCGATATATCCTCCAGACTAAACGTGGAGGATATATTTTCTTCTTCTAGTGTCTCTTTCTGAACTATTTCTTGAAGCTAAAAAATATATAAAAAGATAATTTCTATATAATTGAGTAATCGTATCATTAATTTTTCAAGAATATAATTAATGATTGTCTTACAGTATGTGGTCTTGATGAAACCGAGGCAGATGACGATAATCTCTGAGATGTTGCATTGCCTAATTCTTCAGCGCTACCATTCATCTCAACAATTCCATTGTTTGCTGAATCTTCGTTGAACGTTTTATCAGATTTTTTCAAGATACTCTTACGGGATTTAACCGCAGGACTATTAGTTACACTACGTGGTTGCGCTTTTGTATTAATTGTGATAGATTTACGTTTATGATTTTGAGGCGGAGTATCTACAGCGTCTTCCATTAAAACCATAGACTTATTCAATTGTGTATTTAATTTTGTTACCGAATCTTCACTAATAGCAGAAACATCCCTGAGAGCGGCCATCCCAGCGTTTTTCGTACAAACGATAGCTTTCGGTCCCGTACAGCAGCGCTTCTACGTCTATTTTACAGACGCTTGAAACTACATGGCCACGATGAAGGGAGAGATGACCAATGCTCCGAAAAATCCCGTCCACGAAATATTAATTGCCGTTGCATTGCGCCATCTGTCTAAACTACATACTCGCGTGGAGCAATGTTAATAAGGCAGTAGTACTGTGTTACCCGAAACGTGGATGCCAATTGGTACATAATGTATCAATTTTATCCAATATGATATTTTATATAAAATATATAAAATATTGAAATTATGCAAATTGAAAATATCATATTGAATAAAATTGATACATTATGTACCAGATATGTACCAATTTACATCCAAGGATTAACTCATAGTAAAGTAGAAAATTAATTCAGAAAAAAAGTAAAGTAAATACCATAATATTCATAAAACTCATAATATTAATAGTAAAATAATTACGGAAGTGATATGTGTACTTTTGATTATAGCGCCATCACATTTGTCATACAACATATTGATTGGTTGCTATCGCAAGGAACTTTTGAAACCCTAGAAATTCTCTATTCGATAGCCAATCGGTACATTCGATTAAATTTTTGTCGCACAAATGTAATATCAGCCCAGAAAGCTCATAAATGGCGCCAAACAACGGAATTGTAACAGAATATCAGATACGCGAGAAGTAATGGAGGAACTCTTTTTCGTGCTGTATATTTGATTCTCTAATAATTAAACACAACGTAAAGAATTTCAATTGTATCTATGAAAATTCAGTACATGTGTGAAATATGACGTCTCCCAAGAATTTGAGAAGATCTACGCGAATAAAAGCTATTGTAAAATACACGGAGGATAGCTTCGAGGAAACACGCGAGAATTCTCGTAAGATTATATTAATATAATTTATTATATTTCTTGTAATATTTTTATAGTATTATACAATTTGATATAGACACATTTTATAATCTGTTTAATATTCTTTAATATATATTTATATACTACATCTTTTGAAATTATATCATATATGAACATGATACGTGTCATAGCCTACATAGTATGTTTATATTTTATAGCACCAATTGATACATTGGAAACTGAAGTGGAAAAGCAGCTTGAAGGTATAAAAGAAGATGTACAAAAGCCACTTGGTAATTGATAAAGATTTCTATAAACTTTTATTATATTTTGTATCATTATTTATTCATATAATTTACTTTTATTTAATATTATATCGTTTAATATATTTCTCTCTTTTTTTTTCTTAGAACTGTTTTCTGAAAAGGATGTAAGTGGACGAAAATTATACACATTTCAAACACCAACTAAAAAAAATAGCATGATGCTTAAAGCCAATCAATGTCGTACACCTGAGACTCCAAAAAGTTTCAAAACACTTCCAACTTTAAAAATTGTTCTTGAAAGGGTTGTTAAAACAAACTCAAAAAATAAAAATTTGAAATCTAACCCTGAGAACATAAAAATAAAAAGTATTATATTTTTTTGAACAGATTGGTATAAATTATTAAAAAATTTTTATCTTTTGATATCTTTTTTAATTTTTTTTTCTTATATTTAGTAGTCTCTCGAAAACGATGTTTGCCTAGTGTAAATTCAAGTGGTGATGAAAGTATATCAGAGGATAGTGAATATGTACCCACAGATATAGAAATTAGTTCCGAATCCGATGAGATATCCGATAGAAGCAAAGATAGTGAAAATTCTGATGAAAGTGAGGAAGAAAACAATATTAGGAGAGGTAAACAAAGGCTACAGAAATCTTTACCAAAACTTGAAGTACAAAATACACCTAGAAGAACAAGAAGAGGACGTAAATCTATTGCTTACAAGGATTATGTAAGTTGAGATTAATTAACTATATATAATATTAATTATGTACATGACTATATATAATTAAATAGTACTTATCAATAAACACAAAAGCTATGGTAAATGTAATTGAATACAAAAGTCATGCGTTACCAAAATTAATTGTTTGCGATTTATAAGATAAAAATGCTTTCTTTCATTATAGAAGGTATTTGATACGTTGAATAAATTTAAATTTATATTTTGACATGTTCTTCATTATTGAAGTTCATCAAAATAAAAGAAACATTAGCAAAACATATGATTCTACAAAGCAATTGTTTTTATAAGTTATTCCTCTGTCATCTCCTCTATTAGTAATTAGTTTAAGTAATTACTAATAGAGGAGACAAATAAGTATAAGTATGTATTTTTATATGCAAGTAATAAGTATGTATTTTTATATGCAAGTAAGAAACTCTTGTATTGTATTATTCTAAAAATTGTTTATCTACAAATGCAGAGATAACTTTTACTTTATACACTTGCTATGATCCAGATATCAATTGATAAAAGCATTTGTTTTACAATTTGGAAACAATTAATTTTCGGACACATATTTGATAAAACTTATAGCTTATTTTAGTAAGTATTGTGCAAAGTTTATATGAGTTTTGTGTATATCTATATAACATGTTATACATATAATAACATTGTTAGCATTACATATATTATTAATATAATGTCTAATTGTATATATTTTTAAACTTTTAAAGCATATAAAGACTGATGAATATTTTGAATCTCAATCGGAAAAGGCACTTACATCTGATCATACATTAGGCAGGCTTCGAAATGCTCGTCTTACTGAAGAAACATTAGATGAATTATTAAAAAACCAAAGTCATATTTCTACAATACACAAGAAACATATTTGTTCATTAACAGAAAACTATAAATCATTTTTTTCTATGTGGCAATTTATAATGGAGTAAGTATTAAATAATATCGTCTTTTAATTATTTAATTTCTAGTTTTTTATAATATAAAATTTGATTATAAATTCTAAAACTTGCATTAAATTGTAGAGAAGGTTACAGTCTGTTAATCCATGGTCTAGGATCAAAAAGACATTTAATTAATGATTTTCACAATGAAATCATAGCCGATCATCCAACATTGGTTATAAATGGATTTTTTCCCAGTTTATCAATAAAGGATGTAAGTGAAATATACGTCAATAGAATTATTGTATTATTAACTAAAAAAATATAGTATTAAAGATATAACTTGTAAATTCTATTTCAGATACTCGATAACATAATAGTGGATATATTAGATTTAGATTGTCCAACAAACTCTAATGACTGTCTAGAAGTTATTGAAAAGATCTTGAGCAATAATCCTGATGATCGGCTCTATTTAATAATTCATAATATTGATGGTATAATGCTACGTTCAAGTAAAGCTCAAAACGTCCTTGCTAGTCTAGCAGCCATTCCCAATATTAGAGTCATAGCATCTGTCGATCATATCAATGCACCGCTACGTAAGTTATATTTATTTTTATGCTGAATTCAAATTGATTCACCACTAGTTTATATCACAGATTTATTATTTCAGTTTGGGATCATATTAAACGAGCAAAGTTTAATTTCTACTGGTGGGATGCGACAACGTTTTTGCCATATCAAGCTGAAACTGCATATGAAAATTCCCTATTGGTTCAACAAAGTGGTGAACTTGCTTTATCTTCCCTTCAAAATGTCTTCCTTTCCCTCACCTCGAACGCTCGAACGATTTATTTAATCCTTGTCAAATATCAATTGAACAATAGCAGCAGTAACTTCACAGGTAATCATCAGTCATGCATATATTTTATTTTATCATAATAATAAACGTGGCAAATATCTAATAATATGTACTAATTAGGAATGCCGTTCAAGGATCTAAGTTTTTATGTTATATGCAGTAATATTTATTATTGTTACACACTGTATCTGAAAAAACACTGTGTACAGCTGTGTGTAATTAATAGCACGCAGTATATTTTTGACTAACTTTTTCAAAAGTACAATTTTTTAAATTGTTTTGTTGTTTGTTTAACGATTTTAATGTCTGATATAAAGCAAAGAGGTTTCCAAATTATTTTTTATATTTTTGATTGACATTTTGTGTGTGAAATAATATTTATTATAAAAATTTTATATTGTGAAAAGGACACGAAATATTATTATAGACGTGTTCTACTTAAACATATTGCAAAATTTATTTATGTTTGACAATGATATAGTATGAATGTTTTTACCATTATTAATATTGTTACTATAAAAATGTGTGTTTGATAGAAAAAAACATTGAATATCTATGTTTTTACATAAAAGAAATTAGTAAAATGAGTTTTCTACAACTAAGTAAAAATAGTTTTTTTTAGAGAATGATTTTCTATTTTATGAAACGATATTATAATATTCCATAATATTAATCTTTCTCTCTCTCTCTCTCTCTCTCTCTCTCTCTGATATCTTATCCACTCTGCAAATTTACACATTGCTGGGAAATTAATTTCTAACGCGTGCCAATAGATGGCAGAACATCGAATATTTTAACGCGTAGTCCAACACACAACGTTCACATTATAATTGCAAAGTGAATAATAAGAGTAGAATGGCATCTGCCAAATATTGCGAAAAGCAAAGTTTCTTTAATAAAATATTGTGTCTCTTACATTCTCGTCTTATTTATTGCAAATATTTTTGCCTTGATTTTTTTCCTTACAATGTTTTTTTGCTTACAATTCTTCATAAATATAGAAAAAAAAATTTTTTCATGAAATAATATCATATTTCAATCTTGAATAATGACGCTTCTGATGTAAAAACTTTTAAAAAGGAGAATAGCCATTTTTCACTTTGCATATCACTCTCATGATAATAGATAAAGAGTGCGCATACACGAAGATGTGTTTAATAAATGATTGCGTATAATGATTAGTAAGACGCCGTTTCTATACGTCACTTATAAGATGACGGATTTATCGGAAAGTGTCAAAGTGAAACTGAAAGCGAGTGATGGTGTTAGGTTAAGTTAGGTTATCCGTCGCGCGATATGAAACAGCGCGAAGCTATTCACATCGATTGTGACTTCGATAATCGCAATCAGTTCGAACATCGCGATCGGCGCCAACGGTCGGTTCGTCGTCTCGCGATCTAATTTTGTTCCTTTTTCTTCCTCGGGGAAGAAGAGAAATTTTGGTCTAACGTCTGACGCGCACGCAGCTGTTACGTCGTAAAATACGCACGCGATATTCGCACAGGATTTATTTCGCACATTTATTTCGATAGATGCTTACGCGACTGTTGCGCTGGCCGGGCCACGTCGATTGACAACGTTGTAAATAACACGCGGCGCCATCCCTCGTCTGACCTGCCTTGATTTTTTTCCTTACAATGTTTTTTTGCTTACAATTCTTCATAAATATAAAAAAAAAATTTTTTCATGAAATAATATCATATTTCAATCTTGAATAATGACGCTTCTGATGTAAAAACTTTTAAAAAGGAGAATAGCCATTTTTCACTTTGCATATCACTCTCATGATAATAGCACGAGAGAGCGATTTCGTCGATTTTTAACCAGTCGTAGAATTATATCCAGTTGTCGTCGAGTGAAAGTTGTCAAATTGTCCTGAATGTGTCTGGCGTACAAATCGCGGCGTGGGTGATGTCAAATTTATGACTGTTCAGATCGTGCGAGATTTCTCTCTCAAGTTTCATTAAAATTTCTCTATGACGCGGAAGTAATTTTCGCGCATTCGTTGTTCAATAGATTCAAATCGAAGTGGGCGTTGAGAAGAAATCCTGAATTATTCATTCAGAATCTTTTTTCTAAGTATCATTGATCATAAGAAGAAGTTTTTTAAGATTTAATAAAAATTAAAAATTATAAAAAAAATTATAAAAAAAAATTTCAACGATTAAAATGTTTAGTACATGCAAAAATTAAAAGATTTTTATACACTTAAGCGATATTTATAGCCATTTATAGAGAAATTTTTATATAATTTGATTATTATATATATTTTTATTATATTTATGATTTTTAAAAGAAGAATGCTCGAAGACTTTTTTCCAAGGCCGATGATGCCTAGCTTGTATTGTTAATAATAATTTCGGATTCACGAAAGTCTGAAAACCGTTTACTTTCATCTATCGATCCCGTATCTTTCTCTATCTAATTCCGTTAACTTCGTGCAACTGTTTCACCGATTTCACTTTTGCCAAGACAAACTAATTTCTCCGAGTTACGATTCTCCCCGAGAAAACCGTCGCTCGATACCTTTCTTCGAGGAGATTTGATGCACGAACGAACGAGGGAGAGATTTGCTTTCGCTTCGGAACGACTCGAATTCCACGGCGATGGTCGCTCGTTCGCGTCGGATTATGAAACGTCCTGTACGAGACGATACTTTCACTATCGCGGCCAAGTTTCATAATTATTATTATCGAGGCCATACGTAGGTCGAAGAGGAGACTGTCGGGATACGGAGAAAAGGGTTTGGCTCGTCTTTTACCGCATATACAACCGTTACTTCACACAATGTCGCTTAATTAGCAATGAATCCTAATCATATTTTATTCAAGATGTCTCAATCGCGCTAAATAATACATTATCCGATAGATTTCGTATTAGATGTTAATGGAAATAATGAAAGTTAATGAAAATTTGATGCAAGATATAATTATAAAATTTGTCAAATTTACTTTCGAGAAATAAGTTTTCACGTATTAGATTTCAGAATTGAAAAGCTAAACGATAAAAAATTATTTTCGGGGAAATGTTACTTTTAATAGAAATTTTATAGGAGTCTTAATCGCGAAGCTAATTAATCGGCAATATTTTACAAATATCGACCCATATAATGGGGCATTCCATCAAATATTAATCGATTGACTTCGAATTCGTTAAGGTATTCGTCATTTGAAAAAAAAAAAATGGGGTTAGTGACGAGATACCCTGTATACACGCACATACACGCATGTATGGAACTTTTGTCCTAGCTACTTCGTGGCTTTGTTACGTGTCGCGTTGCGTGACCGAGAAATCATTTTTCCAGCGTTGATCACCGCGCCGATCACCGGTTAGCAATTCCCTCGTCAAGGCTCATCGTCGTTTCTCGCTCTCTCTCTTTTTCTCTCTCCTTCTCTCTCCTTCTCTCTCCGGCCGCTACACGGTGCACGTGCGAAGTAACGTTCGTGTAACTAGTTTTGCTTGTATCTAATATCCGCCGTGTGGCGTCATTGGTGGCTCTATTAACGAGCGAGAAGCTAGGTCGACGTCGACATCGTCGTCGTGTTCGCGCTTTATCCGGATCTCTCTGTCTCTCTCTCTCCCTCGCATAAAGCTCTTAAATAATTTTAGCTCCAACTCGACTTCTCACGGTAAAACACATTGTACATATTTCAACCGATCGCTGTAGAGAGATCTAGATATTAAATAGACCAAAGTAAATAAAAGTCAATAAATAAAAGATATATAAGATAGTGAGAGAGGGTCGATAATTAGAAAAATGGGAAACTAGACTTCTCTTTGATCTAGAGATACTTGGCGCGAGTAGATAATTGAAAAGGGACAATTATATAAGTATATATTAGTATTATTACGTAATGTCTAACAATAAGATAAAATTGAAAGACTGTATTTATAAAAGCGTGCTTTTTCATAAACAAGACTCAGATTTTACTATTATATCATTTATTATGCGCGGCCTGCTTAAATCATCTGCCAAGTGAAAATAACAAAATTTATCAAATGAGATTTGATTATAAAAAGTTAATTTTAAATTATCTACAATTTGTGACATTACATTCCATAATATTAATCTCTCTCTCTCTCTCTCTCTCTCTCTGATATCTTATCCACTCTGCAAATTTACACATTGCTGGGAAATTAATTTCTAACGCGTGCCAATAGATGGCAGAACATCGAATATTTTAACGCGTAGTCCAACACACAACGTTCACATTATAATTGCAAAGTGAATAATAAGAGTAGAATGGCATCTGCCAAATATTGCGAAAAGCAAAGTTTCTTTAATAAAATATTGTGTCTCTTACATTCTCGTCTTATTTATTGCAAATATTCTTGCCTTGATTTTTTTCCTTACAATGTTTTTTTGCTTACAATTCTTCATAAATATAAAAAAAAAATTTTTTCATGAAATAATATCATATTTCAATCTTGAATAATGACGCTTCTGATGTAAAAACTTTTAAAAAGGAGAATAGCCATTTTTCACTTTGCATATCACTCTCATGATAATAGCACGAGAGAGCGATTTCGTCGATTTTTAACCAGTCGTAGAATTATATCCAGTTGTCGTCGAGTGAAAGTTGTCAAATTGTCCTGAATGTGTCTGGCGTACAAATCGCGGCGTGGGTGATGTCAAATTTATGACTGTTCAGATCGTGCGAGATTTCTCTCTCAAGTTTCATTAAAATTTCTCTATGACGCGGAAGTAATTTTCGCGCATTCGTTGTTCAATAGATTCAAATCGAAGTGGGCGTTGAGAAGAAATCCTGAATTATTCATTCAGAATCTTTTTTCTAAGTATCATTGATCATAAGAAGAAGTTTTTTAAGATTTAATAAAAATTAAAAATTATAAAAAAAATTATAAAAAAAAATTTCAACGATTAAAATGTTTAGTACATGCAAAAATTAAAAGATTTTTATACACTTAAGCGATATTTATAGCCATTTATAGAGAAATTTTTATATAATTTGATTATTATATATATTTTTATTATATTTATGATTTTTAAAAGAAGAATGCTCGAAGACTTTTTTCCAAGGCCGATGATGCCTAGCTTGTATTGTTAATAATAATTTCGGATTCACGAAAGTCTGAAAACCGTTTACTTTCATCTATCGATCCCGTATCTTTCTCTATCTAATTCCGTTAACTTCGTGCAACTGTTTCACCGATTTCACTTTTGCCAAGACAAACTAATTTCTCCGAGTTACGATTCTCCCCGAGAAAACCGTCGCTCGATACCTTT